GTGTGTGTGTGTGTGTGTCTGTGTTTGTGTCTATGTGGGTGTGGCTGTGTATGTGTCTGTGTATGTGTATGTATGTTCAATGAAATGCCTTAATGAACTAGGCCAAATTGCAGATTTTCGATGTCAAATTAAAGGCTCCTATATTTAACTGCACAAGTCTTACATGCTTTTTACTTGATTATGACATCATGAACAAGTTAATTTAAGCAATTATATTGACTTTAGCTTTTGCTACAATTCAAAATGGATCATGAGTGACTCTTAATTTGAACATTCAAAGCACCTTAATTTGCCATAAGCACCCCAACTTTGCTAGGCAATTAACTTATCTTGTTGTGTGCTTAGACTTTGTACAAGCATGGATCATGAAAATAGCAATTTAAATTGACTTGACAGATCCAAAAACTCAGCAGAAACTTAAAACAAAATCAGAAATGAGTTCAAACAATTACTGAAGATTTGTAGTAGTCTATCACTAAAGCTCTTTCACATTTCATAGCTTCTCTTTTATTAGACAAAACTTACACCACATTATTCTTCAACATTAAGCCATGAATTAACAATTAAAGCAGATTTAAATCCAGAATTTAACATAATTAAGCAATGCATCAGATTAACATATGCACATTACCATGACATGATCGAATTTGGATTCAACATGAAAATGCCTCAATTAAAAGGAAATCACCAAATAAAATGAAAAAATACACTTGCACAAACACCATAGACCTTCAAATAATAACCATAAATCCTAATTGATCGAACAAACTCAAGGACTTAGTGAATGACACTTTAATATAGTAAGATCAGACAGAACATGAAATAAACAACCCAGATTATGAAGAAAACACTTAGCTCACGTGTGTGCTCAGTCGGAGCTCTGAATACCACTTGATGGCTCCTCTCCAAGGCTGGCTTGAAGCTTTGGATCACTCGAGAAAATAGAAGGATGGAAGGATGTAGCAAAAGTCACATGAGCGTGAAGAATTAAGGCTCGAGTTTGGTGTTTATGGATGTGGTGAGGTGTTTTTGTGCAAGCTTGAGTTCCTAACTAAGAAAGGGTCGCTAAGGGAGGTTGAGTTCTCTCTCTTGCTGATGACTAAGAGCAAAATGAGGGTTGGAGTGATTTCAACATCATGTCATTACATATATCTCAAAGTGATTACAAAAGGGGGAGATGGTGAATTTATAGGAGGATTTAACCCTTTCCACGGTGCCTCATACAAGTATAATCATCAGGTGCAATTTGTGGATCAATTGCCACGTATTTGCACACAATTCTCGTGCTTTAAACATATGGAAAATGAGCTACACTTGAGGATGCTAAACAACACGCTAGCACTATACTTGATAGGGTTTACATATGCTGAGCGAGCCTCTATGTGCGCTAAGCGAGTCCTACTTGGTCCAAGTGAATAACATCTTCATTTCTCCTTCCTTTGATGCATCTTCACTTCCTTCTTGGATCTTTCTCATTATGCTACGAGTGATGGGTCCTTGAACGGGCTCTTGGCTTAAGCCTAAGTCACCAGGCTATCATTCTTGTTAGTGTGGTGCTCTCACAAGTTTCTCTCAATTTTGCTCTAATCAACCTTAAACCTTAATTTGTTATTGTGTTTATTGGATTTGTTATTAGTGTTTATTGGTACAATATCATCAGTGTTTATTGTGTTTGCTATGCGATAAAGAAGTGCACAACGAGAGTGGTATTTAAGAAAAGAAAAGGACAATAAGAACGTAGACCTTGCGAATGTGAACGAAGAAACAAAGTAAATAAAGTAGAAAATGAATGATAATAGTAGAGAGCATAAGGTTAAGATAAAGTATGCTACTTGTGGTATTAGGTTTCGTAAAAAAATTGAAAATGAAATAAGAATAAGATTTTTTTATGTCATTTATAACACAACAAACATAAAAAAAAATAAAACTTTCTATACCAACGATACTTTTGTCAACTCCAAAATCAACATAAAAAAACTTTTTTAATTGATATAAAAAGTCTTGTTCTAATGTATATGAAAGTACCAAAACAAATATATAGAAATATGCAAACACAAACTTTCTTTTGGGCTTATATTTCATTGACCAATCGATATTATGGACTTTTGTTAGGCAATCATTCCTGCACCCCATCAAATTTAATTTTGCACCCATGATTTATGCAAAATTTCAAAATTGATCTTATGAGTTATTTAATTTAATCCTAATTTTTTTGAAACTCTTTCTTTTTCACTCACTGCGTTCGGTTTCTGTCTTCAACCCACCTGCTCTCAGTTCTGCTCCTCCTTCATCTTCACTTGGCCACGCATTTGAAGCATTGCAGAGGAAGTTTGGCACTGCATTGTAGATTTCGAAAGATCAAACCAATATAAAAATTCTTATGTGATCTTGAGTTTCTTACATCAATCAACATAATTAAAAATAATAAATAATTATAATGAAAAAAATTATAAAAAATTACTTTTGGTTTGTTACGTAAACTTACCTGAAACTCCATTCAAACTCATTAACTTACGCAACCAAGTTAATTTAACTCACATTTAAAAAACTATATTTTCAAATATACTCAACCTGAACCAATGATTAGCTAGATTAATTCATCATGTTGAACCCATTTTGATATTCATTTATAAAAACTAGGTTATTAACTATTGTTCTTATAATTTAAATGTTCCGTTATTAATAATTGTTACTAAAAAGGCTGAGTCTACATTTCTTTCATATTTGCTTATAAAGATTGTCTAAAGTCAATAATAGTGTTCAATAATATTTTCCAACAGAATGAATGATGTGATATTATTAAGAAAAAGTATATTTTGAAGGAGAAATTAATAGAGAAAATATGGAATTCATTTTAAGACTTACAAAATCAAGCAAAGTACTCACTTTATTAACATTGTAATGAATTTTCGTATATAATATATTTCATTGTAAGATTCTTAAAATTAAGATAAGCAAAATAATTGCAATAAATGAAAATCTTTGATTCTTAAAAAAAAAAAAAGGAAACACTCTGTAAATAGCTTAAGATGTTTATAATTATCAAACCACATTTTTGAACTATCATTGGAAATCAGAGTACACGCAATACTATTGACGATTCTGAAAGTCCAAGATTCTGAAATATAATAACAAAAATCCTGCAAATGCTTCTTAGAAGACAAATAACAGGAAAGAAAAGAGTTTCTTCTATAAAGAAAGAGAAAGAGAATAAAAAAATGAACACATTGATGATTGTATATATGTTGTTTTGTTTTGTTTGAACTTGAAGGTTTTGTATAATGCGTGTGGAGTTTGAAACCCTAGAAGAGAATATGAATTTTATATAAGAAGAAGAAGAAGAGCATGTATAATATTATATTATTGAAAGTCTCTGATAGGTATATGTGAAGAAGAGTCTTCACACGTGAACATGGTGCTTAGAATATTTTACGAAGATGATTCTATATATCTTGCAACTAATATGTGCTTTGTAATGATGGAATCCATTACATGAAGTGCAAGTTGCATTATTCCATGCAAATTTAAAATGGGTGTTGCTTCTGGGAATTTGCTTCATTACTTTATTATTTGGTAGTTTGATCTTAAGCTAATTTCTTATGGGAAGTGATGAGGCTGTAAAGGGGATTCCCTAGGGCACCTAGAACTATACCTAATATGGAACAATCATTCTAATTATAGCCATTCCTTTTGTAAAAATAAAGTTTGGCCTGGTCAAGAATCCCCCAAACTTTTTGAGACCATATAGCCAAAAATTAAGGTAAAAGTTGCAAAAGATGACACTCTCTTCAAAGGATATATAATAACACTATTTCATGGATGTATATTCTTCATAAACTAATCAAACATTATTATCTTTGTTCTTTGGACCACTCAAGAGCCAACTACCTGAACCTTAAATTAATAAATTCTAAAGTAGATACTTCAATTATATCTACTTTTAATGTCCTGATTCCATTTTGCATCTTCTCTTGTACCCCATCACTCACAACCTAACCAAAATCAACACCTTTATTTTGTATTAATAACTATTTGGAACTATCTAACTTTAGTGGCATATGTTTTTAAATGAAAAACATATATTTCGGTGTTGTCATACTTTGTGTAGATAAATCTTGAGAAAATAGTTATCATTAAACAAATAATATTAACCATAACATCCATGAATGAATAATTAAGATTAACTTTAATAAAATCAATATGAACAATTTATATATTTATATAATCAAGATTTATTCTGCTTGTGAGAAGAATTCACATGTGCCAGGTCTCATGTACATGCACATGCACTTGGTTGACATAGGTTCCAATAACAATAAAAAACAGTTTATATGACAAAATGAAGCGGGTGCATAAGACTACTATTGTTGTCCATAGACAAAGTTGAATGTCTCATAAACAACACAAAAGACATGTTCAGAGATATGAACATGAGTGTCACTGTCAATAACAACAGTTCAAGGCCAATAAATTACGACTGTTAATACAGCTAAACCCAAATAGCTTGGTTATTTTTTTCTCTTTTTGAAATGCTCAAGGGGTATCTGTGCTATACAGTTGTTGGATTTTCTTGTCTCTCCTTTTTCTCCTCATTACAAACACTCTCCACTACCATTGTTAGTTAAGATATTCCTCACTCCGCTACCCATCAATGATCTCATACTACACAAATGAATCAATTCAGCAAGAACAGTCTCACTACTAAGGCCACTGTTATAGCATCACAACATAGGTATCAATAAAAAGGACATGTCAATGACAGTTCCGGAAAACAATAAGCAGCCTTTCATACAGTTGGGAAACAGTAGTCATCATTTTCCCACTTCACCAAAACAGAATTTCTTTGCTGCTCCACCCTCTGAAGATGTGAGGACAACTGGAACAGATCAACCGTAGCTCCATGTTCCGAGGAAAGACGGTGTTTGATGTCAAACAGGTCTGATGGTTGGCAAATATCATCTCCATGATGGTCTTGAAGAGCATGAACTGCATTAGATAATGGTGCGGTTTGATTCTTGATAACATCCTTAGAGGCGGTGTTGCATGGAAAGGACTCGTTTGCTGCATATTTATCTGCAGAACTTGTTATCCTCAAAGATGTTTGGGAAACTAGGTCATCTCTATCTTGAATGTGAATGCCGTGAAGGATTCGGGAACCGGCTAATGGATTTCCTGCTGCATGGCGTGATGGATACTGTGACTGATCTGACAGAAGAGAGAGAGCACAGCTTGATAATTCCTGACCAAGTGTGACGGGTGCAGCAAGTTGGGAACTGTACAAGGAATCTTCTTCCAGTTTGATGCGTCCACTCTGAGAGTTCTGAGCATGTTTTCCATGGAAAAGGATGCCACTTTGAAATATGTTTTGAAAGGGAAACTGGGGTTTGTTCTGTAATGAGGACCCAAGATACTTGGTACCTGATAACACAATCAGTGTAAGAGAAGTTCTTGGCTCTTGGTGCATGTAGTGTAAGTGCATATACCCTTCCCATTGAAAAGGTTTGTTCGAACAAGTAAGATTATGACAGGAATAACAAACATCCAACAGGGAAAAAAACAAGGAAACTTTTCTTGAACACTTGTGGAGATCAGATGAAATTAGGAAAGGATCTTGTTCAACTTCATTAGAACAGTAACAATTATTTTTGTCTTGTTTACAATGCATCTTATATTTCTCAGTGACTATAGAATACACTTTGTAAGAACATTCCACCATGATTTTCTGTTTTTAATTATGAATCAAATAAAATTTTATAGGTATCTGAGGAATAGCAATGTAAAAGTCCTACAATGATAAAGAAAAGATACTTCAATACTGGTATGCTTTGCTTGAACTTCGTGCATAAAAAATTCTAACAAATGCATACCAACATTAGTTAAATGGTCCACATCTCTCCCCGGGACCATGATATAAGGAGATAACATAATTTAAAGAACCTGTAAGTGCTTCCTTTGTCTAAAATGTTTAAAAAATTCAGGCTTGTCTTTTCAGGATTTAATGGTTTTAATTTTAGTTCATGGAAGGAGTTGTATCATCATCTTTTGAAAGCTCCTCTGATGTTGGCAAAAAGTCATTGGACAGGGAGCATAAAAGAAGCTTTCAGTGCAGCTAATATAGCCAACTTAGCTTGAGTTGACCCAAATATCCTATGGTATTGGCATCTTACTGTTAAAAGAAGAAACATTTGGCTTTCTTCTTTAAATGACTTCATTACCATAATTGATTGATATTTGATCGAACAGAACAATTGAAGAATAAATTATAAAGAATCAAACAAACATTATTTAGTTATACACTATCAGACAAAGTTCGTGACATATCTGCACTAATAGTGACCAAAAAAGCGTGAAATATATAGTTTATGTCTAGAGGCAACAAACAACAAATTCCAAAACTTATTTATATGAGGTCCCTTGACAATTGAATAAGAGATTTCTACTATACAACTTGTGCATCATAAACTCAGGAATATGATCACAAAGAATAGAGCATACATTAAAAGAGAAATACAAAAAACATAAGGGAAAGATAATACCTATCAATGTCATATATTGCTGCCTCAGCTTATCAAAGTAAAATATTTACACCAATCTTCAAAATTACACCAATCAGATTACAATTTTATTCTAAGCCCTCCAATACATGGTTATATATGCAGAGGGATCTTCACCCAAAACCCCAAGTAAAATGAATGTGAAAGTCTCCTGACATAGAAATGCTACAAAATGCAGCCACTCAACAACATTTGCTCTCAATTTCGGCATTTATTGATTTGTTAAAAACTCAACTTTTTGTACTACTGCATAGATCCTATCAGATTTAATTTGAAGTATGCTACCCAAATTTAAGAAATGGGTATGAATTTAATTTCTTTTTTTATTTTTCTCATCATGGCTATGGCATGTTTGCTTAGTAGGTATTTTAGTACGGAGAAGATGATATCATACAGAAATCATCATAAACATCATGATGTTAATTTTCAAATATGATTCTAGTTTTCAGGTTACTGTATTGAGTGCTTCCTATCAATATCATTTCTGCATAGTTAAGTTACATTGAGCTACGCATGAGCAGTTATCAGCTACATAAATCCTAATAAGAAACGATAAACAAGGATTTTCAATATGAATTGTTCTTCCTAATCTTTATTACAGAGTGCTATAAGTTTTCTTGATTCCTTTAATAACAAGCCTCTTTGAAACCTCTAGTTTTTCCTACTAGAGCATCAGTATTTGTCTGAACATTATGATTCTACAATGTCTAAACTTTATTGAATGATTTCTCTTTATCTTTAATCAAACAAAACTATCACTACCTTGTTTCCGAAATCTGTTATCCCTTCGTCATCAATCTATTGCATACCTGCTAGTTCGTTTAAATTGTATTTCTGCTAAAGAAGTTAAAACCACAGAAGTTTTCTAAAACAGAATGCGCTTTAACAAACTGGACACGAAAAGCACCCACTAAAGCTGCTAAATAATACAACACGTCATTAAATTAACAATATAAAAAATTTCACTTGGACAATAAAGTAGAAGATTTAAAAGTTGAAAATTTAAATGATAATTCTGTCTTATCTAATGCCAATGAAGGTACTTACTAACAGATAAATTTTCATACCTTGATATGAGTGAAGAATCTTGTGCTGTTTACCAGTCATGTAATCAAATTGAGGTTTCCTCCGGCGTTCATTGTGTCCAGCTAGGCGCCTGCGGCAACTGCGCTTGCCATCGTCGAACTCGGCCAGCAAATGGAACCTAATTTTAAAACAAAACAAATGGTGTAATTTAATCCATAGGTAACCATCAGGTTAAATTTACCACCACAAATTAAAGACAGTCAATCTGTGGTTATACAAAATGATTGATTGGAGTTTAATAATAATGCATTCTCATTTGTCAAACCAATTTGAACTACATTTGTTGAATGAAAAGAAAACTTTTAAATAATTGCATTAATAGAACCCACTTGGACACAAATGAAAGTAAAAATAAGGGAAGCACTAAGATTATTAGATTTGAGAAAAAGATTTCAGTTTTTATGTCCCTTTTACTAGTAATTACAAAATGTTAACTTGTTTGACCTTGTTTTATGTTTTCACTGAGAAGATTGTGTGAAATTTTTTTAAAATAAGAAACAATATAATACTTGTAATTATGAGCAAAACAAAAGATTGTTCTCTTTAAACCAAACAAATCCTGATACCTTTTGTTGAGTTTTTTCTAGCAAATAATTTGCTCAAATTTTATGTGTTTCAAATCAAAAGGATTGAGGTACCTCACCAGCTAAACAAATATAAGGAGCTTACAAATGGCAAGAGTTTGACCATCATAATGTAAGAGAAGTATTAAACTTCAATATAACTAACTATCCATCAAAGGAACCCAAAAATACCTGCTGCACTGCTGACAAAACCTTTGTTCAAGGCCATTTACAATAACTTTGGCCGTTTTGGAGTGAGCATCACAAACTTTATGCCTTTTGTGGTAATCTTTTGAGGAACTAAGATCCATGTTACAACCATAAACTTGACATACAGGAGCCTGTGCAGATAAGCTGGAAGTGCGAGCTCTCTTTGAAAGCGTAGTTGGATTTATGGATGTCAAAGTAAACCCTTCTTTTGCAACTTTATCACTGCTTGCACCTTTACAATCTGCTAATCTCCCAAGCTTCAGATCAATCAGGGAAGAATCATGAGTCTTCGCTTCAACTAGAGAACTTAAATGCTTTGAATCAGATTCTTCTTCCCCCATAGTAGAATCCAAAGCAATGACTTGTGTAGAGGAATTCCCTCTTCTACTAGAATTACTATTTAGTTCATAGCTTGATGTCTCTAGAGGTTGGCTACCATGAAAAGACTTCTGCAACAAGTCAGGGAAACCCAAGTCCACAAATTCCATGCTTTTAACAGCCTCTCTGTCTGAATTAAATCCATCTCTCTCAAAGTTGGATTTGTTGTCCCATTCAACCAATGTTCTTCGACTTCTCATAAACGCATCAAGTGAAAAATCCATTTCATCAGAAAACAAATAGCCTTTCTCTTCAGGGACATAACTCCAAGATTCCATTAGTACAATCAAATCGAAGTCACAGATGCTGTGAAATAATGGAGAATCCTACCACAATCAAAAGAAATACATTACTCCCATGCCAAATCAAAAGTTTTACCAAATTCAGGCATATCTATATACATATATGAATACACACTGCTCAAGACATAACTAATAGCTGTAGACAAATAAAGTACATGTACTAATGAACACTAGGGAAACAAAATAAAACAAACAGGTATGACAACCGTGTCAAAATATAACAAATTCCCACAGACATGTGAAAGCAAATTTTTCACCAAAAGAAGAAAAGGCTAAAGAAAAAGAAAATCAGATCCCACTTTGTTTTATAGTCAGGAAACTCTTAATCCTTGACCTGCTACCAGCCAAAAATAGCATCCAAAAATCTCAACTTTTTATGACAGGGACATTGACGCTGAGGTAAACCCAGCACCCAGAAACAAAAATTGAAAAGGGTAAATCAAATCAAACCAAACCCAGATTGCATGATTAGATATCTCCCAAGTTCCAACTCCTTTTAAGCTCAAATCCCCAATGGACAAAGTAAAAATGTTGGTAGTTCAAACAGTGTTGGAGCAGAATAAAGGTGAAAAAGAATATGCCCATGAAAGAAGAAGCTGAAAGGACTCTTTTCTTGAGAGGAAAAGGGAAACAAACCGCTGGAAGAAAAAAATGCAAAACAAGCTTGGTGCTGACACAGGTTGAAGAAAATGAATTGGCCTTCTCACTGTTCCGTGGTTCTATTCTAAACAGTTTCTTGGGAACCAAACACCAGAAAAATGGTATCTTGAAATAACCTGACAGATTAGTGGCACCTTGTGAGTGGTTTTAGTTTTGGCACACAGCAGAGTGAACAGTGAGAGAGAGAAAGAGAGAAAGAAAAAGAACTTTTTTTTAGAGATTTTTTCTTTTTTCAGAGCAGTGGCATCGTTGAAGCAGATAGAGCATGAGTCAACATGATTTCTTCCTCTACTACCAAACCAAAAGCATGTTGAGGTCTTTTGTAGCTTTTGAGACAGCATGGGAATTCCATTCTAGTACATTTGATTTGGTTCTATTTACATAAACATACCAAAGAAGTTGAACATTATAATAATGAAGAAAATGTGTGTTTTTGAATTTAGTTGTTGTTTTGTATCTATGATGACTAAAACTTTGAGTAAAAGTTAAATTAGTAGTTAGAAGTAAAACTCTAAACAACATGGTTGATCATGATTATGATTTTTTTTCACCCTAGAGGGAACAATTTCGTTTCTCAAGACACTCTTATGCCAAAGTAGAAAATTTCCATTTAACAGATTTAGTTTGGTGGGTCTCTTACCTCAGAAGCTACTAAGTTTATTGAAAGTCACTTGGTTAGTTTTTGGGTGATGAAAATTATGTGTATGGTTTTTTAATGGGTATTTTTCTGTCAAATTAATTCTTAGGTTATAAATATTAAAAACTGAGTTTAATCATTCTTTCCATTTCCTTAATACAAATTATATGTAATTTTGTTCTCTTTTAATTTTTACAAATAAACAAATTTAATACTCTAACAAATTTTTCATTCATGAAATTTTAATACTGTTATGTTTTTTATCTAGTTTTTAGGGTTTCATAATGGATTTGGGATGCAAATCAATTGTAAATAATCCAAAGTTAGAAATGTGTTTGAAATTTACAGGAAGAATTGAATGGAAGAATATTTAAAATGATTTAATTCTTTTTAACAAGAAAAAACCAATAAAAGATTAATTCAAAACACATAATAGGGATAAAAATTACAAAAAGTTAAACAAAAGAACAAAACATATAATGAAATGAAACTTAAGGATTTCTTTGATTGATATAATACACATTTAGAAACTAATATGTCCGACATAATACTGTTTATGGAATAATTTTATAATTTATCCTCAACAATAAGCAAAAGTTTATATATATATATATAATATATTATATATATCATATATATATATATATATATATATATATATATATATAATAAAAATGGAACGACAATTAAAGTATAAAGTTTAAGTTACTCTACATGATAATGACAAAAATGAAGTATAATTATTTTAGTTTAATCCCTAATGATGAATTTAAATCTTAAGTACTTTCCAGTAAATGAATTAAATATTTAAAGGAAAAGTTAGTAAATCATAGGAAGTTTATATAATTGGATCAAATATGTAACTATTTGTCCTATGTAGTTATTCACCCAATTTAGATAAATATATCCTTCAAAAGGTGATTTTACAAGAAGAAGAAAAAGTTGATAATACATACTATGTTCTTTTTGGAGATGAAAAAAGTGTTAGAAATGTACTTTCTATCACACTATTGGACACACTTCTTTTATGGGTTAAAGTTTATTAAAAGTTACAAAATCAAAAAATAAAATCATCAAATAAGATGTGAGATCTAGTATAATTGACTGTGATTTAAAAAAATAAATAAGTCAATATAAAGCTTATTTATAACACTTTCATCTTGATGTATATTAATTATTTCTCAATTAAATTTTGACATTTATAACAAAATATTTCTTATTTTATCCAATGAGAATTGTTGATTTATAACATTATAACATTAAACATGAGTTAAAAGGGAACAATTTGTGACTTATTTGAATAACATTATTTTAGACATCACCCAAAATAGGAATTTTTCTTTTCTTTGAAAAATGAATTAAAAAAAATAGGCATTTAGTTTTACAAAGTAAAATTTGGTTAAAAAAAATGGTAGATGGTCCAACATAGCTAGTTAAAATGGACACCACAAAACATCTTTATGGTTTAAGCTAGACATGATCCACCTTGCAACTTTCACACCACACATGTGGCCAAAATATTAATGTCATTTTATGAGCAATGCTTCACCAACTTATAATATATGTGGAGCCTTTTAATTTATGGAGTCATTTAATGATACATGTGTTTTTTTTTCATATACACGTGCCACTTTTAAGTTTAAACTTTTTAAGTATATAAGTTATTTTATCAATACAATGTGATATATTACTTTTTATTGAAAACATTGACTAACTAACCAAGTTATCATTTCAAACAAATCATAAAATTAATGTGTGAGTTGCTAAGGAAGTTTGATCCTTTTTTAAAATGAAAAAGAAGAGTTAAATTATTTCTTTAATTGTTTCAATTTATATTTTTGTTAGTAAAAATATAACTTGATTTCTTAATTATAATCATAGTGATATTTTTATTTATTATTTTCATGTAATTAATTTAAGTATTTATAAGAAAATAGAAAATAGTTAAGAAAATGACTACTTTCTTAAGTAAAATTTAAATATTTTATTATTAAAATGTCAAATTTATAAATATAAAAATTAAATATTTGAGTTTATCTCTTAAAGATCATAATCTCTCTAGAAATATTTCATTTTTTTTTCTAATTTCTCTATAAAATTTCATGAATATGTTTTTTTTAAGGTTAAATCCACCTCAAATATCTAAGTTATGTAATAATTTTATCCTATTAAAAATTTTATTTGAGTAAGTTTATATTTATCTCTTTTCTTGAGTAAGTTTTGAAAATTGTACTTGTATGTGGAAAAGGTTGTCTATAGTAATTCAATACAATGGAGAATCTTCATAAAAATATACTAAAGTTAGAAAAAACTTTTATTTATATATTCATTTACATATATAAAATAAAAATTATAGGAGTCATGACCCCTATAGGCCTTATAGGGTTCACCCCTAACTCAATAAGACTCAAGATTAATCTTTGTTAGATAAGCCAATATCTCATTGGATGAAATCGATTCTATGAAAAACTTTAGAGATCAAAGATTCGTAAGTTGACAAGTCAAGTTTCATTGGGCTAGTCTCTACTAATGGTTGGATCTTTAAGCGAACCAAATTCCTCACTAGACAAGCTATTTTGATAAGAATTTTTAAAGATTGCTTGTTGGATGATTGGGTGATCTCATTGTTGAGCTTGCGATCTTTTGGACGAGCAAGACCTCTAGCCGAGTTAGACAATATTTTAAATTTTTTTTGAGAAATGTGCTTTAAATTATTCTAAAAGGTAAAAAATTGTTGGTTTTTCATGACATTGTTTTTTATATAAAAAATCGGGGTTCATGATCTCGTTTGATATCTAATAAGTTACATTAATATTTTGAGATTAAAACATATACTTTGATATATGAGGTTAGGTAAAGTCAAAGATATACAATCTACTACTTATGTGTGTGGCTCAATAGACTTAAAGGTGTAGTTATAATCTATTGCTTGTGTGAGAGAGACCAAATAGAGTCAAATAGTCAATCTATTGTGAATTGGTAATATAATGTTTGTGTGATGTGAATGTAATTATTAAAAAATATCATGTTAAAAGGTTGTAATTTTTGCATTTAAAAGATTTAGTATATTGAGTTTACTAATATTAAAAGGTAATAAAAATTTATGAAAATTCCTATAACTTAGATTGTGATGTAAAAGAAAACATATTTAATGAGTTTTAAGAAATTTACCCTTTAAAATAATAACTTAATTTTTTACATGTGATTTTATGTTACAAAAAAGAAAAACAGAGATAATTTAATTATCAACATGGTAAAAACTAAAGAAGAATTGAAACTTAAAGTTTATAATGAAAGTAAGTAAATTTAACAATCTTACTAGTATTGAATTTTATCAGACAATGTATGTGAAATTATATTATAATTACCTACAAAATTAAAACATTTGAATGAAACGATGCATTTTGAATACTCTAATAATGTTAATTAACATAAATAAGAAGGCAATATATTTGGTTTTGACATGTTTTTTTAAAATTTATTATTGAGTCATAACAAACATCAAACATAAATTCTTTCGTTTACATTTATGGGAGAATACGACTTTAAGTTGTCCAACCACTATATTACTTCATTGAATTAATCCATTAGATTTAATGAGTAGTTAGAATCAATTAGATGGAACTAATTAATAGTGAATAATTAAATTATAAGAGTGATTAAGAATAAATGAAATGAATAGTTAGAGGAAGGTGGCATAAGGGAGTGGGTGTGGCCCCAGTTCCTGGTATTTTGGTGGCTGAGTTCATTCTTTTTACTGTTGGAAAGCATGCTTTCCTATTTTCAATTTCATGTCCATCACCACTACCACTACCTTTTCTTTTTCAAAAAGCTACACTCCCTGTCGAAACTGTCTTATAATATAAAATTCTTAAACATATATCCTTTCCATGTATAATATTTAACTTGCTAAATTAGAAGAAACCCCTCAAAAAACCAAAAAATCAAATGCATAACATTTAGCTTATTTTCAGTTGAGGATATAAGGGTGGGAGTCTTTATTTTCAATTTTTTTTATTCCCACATATTAATGTTCTAATATATGCTAAAATTATATTATTAAGGTCAATTTCTAAATCAATTAATTACTACAAGTTAACAAGTTCTCATATATATATATATATATAACAACTACCTTTCTCTTTCTTCTCTTTATAAAATAGAATTAATTATGTACATGAGTGAGTTTAGCTTTTGTTTTTTCCTCTTCTATTATTAGGTATGAAAGGAAAAAAAAAGATAAAGAGTTTACTTGTTTTTGTCTCACCTTAATCATTCCTTCCCTTTCTTATGATAAAAATAGAGATTACATTATATATATATATATATATATATATATATATATATATATATATAT